AAGGAGACAGAGAAAGAGAGATGGAGCCGACAGTCCCCATCCTTCCATCCTTCCCAGGATCCAGGGACATCTCCCTTTCTTCTCCAGGCTTGGTTTCATCTTGGAAACCAAGGCCTTGGTTGGGCCTTTACACTCTCAGTTACTGAACAAAAGTGTCTGACCCTCATATCTTGAGAAAAGGCTCAATATCTCACTACTTGGTTCCTGGACTTCATGGCAACAAGAAGACAGAGACCCCCGATGGCTTTGGGGAAAAGATTCAGCTAATGTGCCAGGAAGCAGGACTAAGGAGACTGGAGTGGAAGGCTAGAGAACCACAGGGCCCAGCTGCAAAAAGATGAGAGGGCCAAGGATTGGTCCAAGACTGTGCTGGGAGTCCAGCACTGGAAGGATAGGAGATGGGCAGGATCCAAAGTAACTCAGGGCTTGGCACAGAGAGGGGCTGTGCCATGCAGGAGAATGAACATGGGGCTGGGGGTCAGGGGGTGGGATGGTGGTAATTCTCATTCCTGTTCCTCCCAAATCTGATTCCTATTTCAAGCTCTTGTTCCCCAACACTGCTCTCAGGAGAGGACCTAGGGCTGATCCCAGCCCCCCAAAAGAGGATCTTCGCACCTGTGCCATTTCCGAGGATGCTGATGGTGAGGTTCTGTGGAGCATCTGGGACAGAAAGACATGGCTCCTGCTTCAGAGGTGAGGAGTGGATGGGCCTGGGCCAGAGGGCCCCATGGAAGGGCCATAGGAACCAGAAAGGCGGGGATGGCTGTCCTCCTGGCCTACTCATCACCCAGACTCTTACAGCTCACATCCACCCTCAAGTTTCCTCTGGTTTTCCTTCTCTTTCTCTTTTTCCCTCACACACACACACACACATACAGAGGTACACACACACACAGGTACACGCACACCCCACTCCCACTGCCCTTTCATATGAGACCCAACCATCCATCCCACCACTCACAGGTGACATTGAGCTGGATGGTTCTCTCTGTGGTCACATGAGAGTTTTGGAGTTTCACCTGACAGGTGAGGTTGGT